ATTTACCGACATTCGCAGGTGCGAGCGATTATGCAATGTCTGAGTGGAGGACGGTGGGTACTTCCAAAAGTCCCGAGTCAAAGTACAATAATTATGGCAATGAAAACGTCGTTTTAGTTTCTGCAGAGTTGGAGCGAATAAGCAATGAATTCGTATTGGTTAATGGTTTTATAATGACGTGTGTTATTTTTTTGTGTCTGATGTCTTTTGGAGCAGTAAAAATGCTTCAATAATGTTCAACTCTGAGGATAATTTCGGGTGAAAAATTGTATCCTATGGTTCTTTGGAGATTTAGGCGAATTTTTATTTTCTTGACATGATTGTACCTATAATTTTAAATGCTGGATTTATTTTTATATGCTGGATTTCTTAGCGCTATTTGTAGACATTTGAAATCTTGGATTTTTTTTTTCTTAGTAGTTATGGTGTAATATTATTTTTTTTTATCAAAAAGAGTGAATATTTTAAATACGATATTCAAATCTTGACAAAATGCATCAAAATCACAAACATTTGCAAATTATTTTATAGCTATAAATTCATAAGGTTTTCAATTTTTTTCAACTTGAGTCTGAAATTGTAATACTAGGTTGTTTGTAATTTATTTTTCAGAAATTTAAATATATACAAAAAAAACATTCATACAAGTATACAACTCATTTTTAAAGATATTTGAAGTTAAAATGTTGACAAAGTTAAATATTTAAACGGCAATATTAATAACGAGCTTAAAAATATTCAGGCATATTTTAATTCATCCATATCGCGAACCTATTCATACTGTTATAATACGATACATACACTTATAAGTTAATAACAGTAATATATGATATAATATTGTAATTACTATAATATAGGATGTACGATATGTTTGTCAACAATTGAACCTTCTGTATTACTAATAGAAAAACAAATTACTAGTTAGTACCTACCTAGTTATTTATAAGTACGGCGTGTCCGTCTTCGCTCTGTACTGCAATAATTTATCATTGAATTTAACACATTCATTACAACAGTGACCTATACTCAATGACGACTAGCGAGGTACAATCGAAACCTACTATACAGCAGAGCGACTGACCCGGTTTTTATTTTTAATTTGTCATGCGTATTTAAGAAAGAATGCGATTTTGGAACACCAAAGCTATATGGGTAACACGACAAACTTGTTGCGGACCACTATTCATTATTAAATACTCCATAATAATATTACATTTTATACGTTAAATATTATAATGCATCAATTGACTTTAAAAATCGTGCCTGTAGCAGTTAACATGTACACATTATGCAGATTATATTATATGGTAGACATAAAAACTATTAGTAGTAAATATTAATCATAGACACATGAAGATCTTAATAATACGTCTACGTAATAAATTGGTTTGGGTTGAGTACATTTATGCATGCCTAAAGTAGATGTTCACATTATTATCACATTATGATTGAAATATGGAAAAAATTGTTATATGCATAGCATTTTCCCTAATTACACAAAATAAATAATTTTTATAATGACAATATGCACATTGCACGTGTGCGACGTTGGAATTATGTACCGATGTATTATTATTATTAAATAGTATGTACTGTTTAATCTGTACAACAAATGCATACATTTTTATCTTAATGTAATATAATATGTATATTGTACCTACCTATAATGTACCTAAACGTAATGATAAAATATTTTCGTGTGTCTCACGATTCCTTTTTATTTAACCATAGAAAAAAAATCTACAGACAGTGACGATTGGTCACTCGGACTAAAGATATCGTCTACCGGAGCTCACCATTTGATTTATTTATTTGGGTTCAACAAACCAGTAAGTGGCGCAGTGTTAGCACACCATATAATAAAATCAGAGACGGGCTATAATTATTAACATTTCATCGTCTCCAACTATAAATAATAATAATTGTTAATGAGTAAAAAAAAAAAAATAACAATATTTAACTTAACACTGTACCCACAATAATGCAGTATTTTTTTTTGTTCATTGTCTACATCTATAAGTAACAATTATTATATAAAATACGGAAAGCTTTGCTCGCAGAACAATGCTCATGTGATTATAGGAAACGAATTATTTTGTTTGTTATGCAACAAGTCAATAAAATACATGGAACTTGTAATATTATGCGAAGATTAAAATATAATATAGTTATAATGATTAAATCTTCTATTTTTTTTTATTTCGGTCTTTAGCACGATTAAATCGTGTTTGCTTTCACCTTGACATTGATAAAAATAACAACAAAATATTATTATATAAATCTACACATACAATGTTATGTATGTAACTTTTTTTGCATTTTCACGAGCTAACCATACGGTTTAAAAACACCGTCACATTAAATCTACATTCAATTCGTACTTTAATAGTGTCTTATGTTTAATGTCTTAATGTGTTTAAAATTATCATTATTTTTTATATATTTTAGTAATTTACTTTAGTAAATACGATTATAGAGATATAATAGTTACCAGCTACTACTTTATTTCTTTAGTTTTAATTTAATAATTTACCTTTTATATTTTTGCCATATTTTATACATTTGTTAGACGTACGTTTACATTATTTTAGGAACCACACCAATTCATCGGTTTATTATTTTATTGTTGATAAAATATTAGAAATAATTCTTACTTTTTATTCATAACAATTCCAAATTAAATACAAATAAACAATTTAAGAATTTCATTACAAGTAACGTACAAAATACTGGATCTATTTTATCTATTTAGTACTAATTTTTGTAATTTCAACGATTGTATATTGAATTTATATACCAAATTTAATGCTAATCATCGAGCACAAATGCATAATTACTATTTAGACATTTTAATTTTTAACCAGAGGTTATAACAATTTCCTAATATTTATCACAATTTTTTCATAGTTTTACTTTCATTATTTTAATTCATGTAATGTAGGTAGGTAAATTTTTTTAAATAAGTAATTTTCATTATTTTGGTTACACAAACTGAAACTGCAGACTTAACTGTATACAACTAATAACACTAGGCATATATAACTCGATAAAATATTTTGCATTATTTAAATACTTAAATAACTATTTTATGTTGCGTAGGTGTGTGTTCCTAACTATAAAAATATAATTTAAAATATTTATATTTCTAAACAATTAGTAATTACGATTACGTACAGTGAATAAATCACTAGGTGGATAATTGCTGCAGTTATAGCTTTCTATAGAGTATCGACGGCTCTATAATTTCAATCCGTTGTTTAATATACCTACCTATCATTTTAATTCCCATATGCTAGCGATTTCGTTTAACCCAATAAACAAGTTGCAATTGTTAATTCGGCTTGTTTGGGAACCGGTGGGATGCAAGGTTGATTTAGTTTCAATTTCTATCGCATACGCAATACTAAAAACAAACCGATTACCAAGGCTGACCGCTTCTTTTTAAGATTGGTGAAAAATTCCTATCGCCTATAGTAGTAGGTTTTTGCAAAATGTGAAATGCAAAATAGTGTGACTAAATAATATAATATATAAAATTCATATTATTATTATTATCATCACTCTAAAGTGTTACTTAATAGTACACGATGTTTTTTTCCATCTGTTGTGATGACCTTTCTCGGTTATAATTATATTGTGTTTAAAAAACTGCCGAATATGATGTTGGTTCACGTTGTTGAATTTTGTTTTGAAACGAACTTATTGTTTGTTATGGGATTAAAAATGTAATTAAAATAATAATGTAGGTACCAATAATCTTTTATTATTTAAATTTTATTACATAAAAATATACTTTAGTTTATGCGGATAATATTATTTTTTTTTTTATCGTACCCATATAACCCAATGAGATATTTATTTACTTTGAAACAATAAATAAATAGAAACAATTAGTTTTAAAATGTTCAGATATTCGTAGACCTACTTTGTTAGTATATAGGTACTCATTAAAATACACTTGAAATAAAATTTATATTAAATTAGTTGTTATAATATGACGTAAGTTCGAAATTGGGTTAAAATAGAAATTTTATTAACCATTATTTTACCCTCTGTGGTCTTTATATACGTGGTTTAAAGAACACCATGTAACCTTGATGTATGGTGAAACTGAAGGTACAAAAGATGGTTAGGTTATTTTAACCATAGGTAAGTAAGTACTTATTTAAATTATAAGGTATTAGTCAACAAAAGTATGTAACGTTTGTTTCACCACAAAAATCGTTAAATTATATTAGTGATAAAATAATGAAAAAAAAAAATTTATTATTACTTGGTAAATAGTATAAAAACATTTATTAATACTTAAAAAAAAAAGATAATGATCAAGATATTGATTAGTTCATAATAGTATGACGTTTAGATGTTTAAAGAAAGTCGACAGACGACAAATATTGCGCTCTGAAATATTGAAAACTATATAATTATATAAATACCTACTTTTATATACAAATCTTTGTAACCAATAATCTATTTATGGTTAATTATGAAAAAAAAAACTAGCAACTATATACTACTTATCTGGCTTTGATTGACTAGATTGATAAGACGCAAACAAATGTTCGTCTTAAATGCGAATGAGCCTTAATCATCGACGTTCGGAAAAAAAGTTTTCAAAGTCTCCTATAAGGCTCCGAAAGGCTACGTACGCGATCGATATTCGATTCGATTTTAAATCCTGATTACCAGGCAAGCCTGTAGGTACCTATACTATTGGGATTCACATTCTACCTAATACTAGCTAATCAAATATTTATATGATACTTCACGATATTACATGTTATTATCATGCTCCGTCATTGTATTATTATTATCCATATTATAGGAAAATATGACAAAAAAAAAAAACTTATTTTGGGATTATTATTATTGTATTTTATGGCATACGTCTTTGAGCGAAATAACCTATATTCGTGCTCGTCGTTATCTGTAGTTACATATTGGGTACCTACGATTGTATACTATTTTAATGATAATAATAATTAATACACAACACATACCTATGGTACAGAACGGTTTCCTTGCGTGATTAGACGCGTTGGACGTTTCGCCTCTGGAGGTCGTGGAAGACGTCTCTGTGGACAAGCCTTTGCCACTGACCACTTCGAGACAAGGCCATTTCGCGTCGTCCTCTTTCTCATTTAGTGGCTCACTTTTCACCAGTGCTGCGGTCAAATTCAGAGCAGCTATGTTAGTTTTGTAATAATTCCTCTGGTTTTGATCCATGTCGTCCGCCCCCCTGTCGGGCTCGTTCAGCGGTGGCGAATAAAATAGCGAATCGACGGTAAAAATGTCAATAGAGATATCCGATATCTCAATGCACAATCTAACTTCGTACCATCATTGTTTCTATATTATAATATGCTGTCACGAAGCTCTAAAAAACAAAAATTAGACACCGATAGTTAGTATAAAGCTCACGTGTGATGTTGATAATACATTTTTTTTTTTTTTATGACTAAATAATTGGTCGTTTATGTATTGCGAACGAACGATTGGAACGATTTAATGTAAAATGCATTTTATATTACAAGGCGAACCGCAAGAATACTACTTTCGTTCATTACCTACGTCGGTGATCGCGTAGAGAGGAGAAATAATAAATCTCGTTGACAACTTTATTAAAAAGAAATATGTATTAAGAAAATACAATTTTCAGTTACAATATTATAATATGAAGTCTATCATACCTATAGTTTATATTATTACTAATTTTATATTGTGCACGTGGTGTAATATTATTACCATGCGTGTATTAGAAATTATAAGAAAAATTGTAAAATAAAGTTTTAAATTAAAATATTATTGAAATATTACTGAATTTTAAGCTTATTTTCAATACTTTAAAATATTTTATACAATATGTTCATAATGTAATATACTTACTAAGTTGTATATTAAGTATAATATATATTTTAATTTGTATGATTAAAATAACGTTATAGGTACCTATACAATTATATAATGACACATTTATACGCAAAATTAATTGAAAGTAATTCCCTCACAAAACACTATTTAAGTTGATGTTTAAATTAATTTAAGTACCATAAAAAATGAATTATTAAATATACTGTACTCGAAAAAAATGCAATAATTTACGAAAATGTTGTTCTCTCTATCGTTTTGGTTGAAAATTGAAACTTGCCAAACGTCAAGTAGAAAAAAAAACCACTTCTAATAAAAATGTATTTTTAAGCTACAAACCATACTTGAATGAATAAATTATATAATTTTATTTTGACATATTACATCGCGGTTTTTGTTTTTCAAATATAACGCATTAAGTCAGAGTAATAATTATGTAAAAAAAATATTTTCAAGATATATTGGCATCTGTAGTTTCTTTCAACTTATTCTTTCACCGTTTACGTAGGTATAGGTAGGTACACTGTAACTGTGTAACATACAAATGATTACACACAATGTATGACTCAATACAGTGTGATGAGCGTGACCGTAACTTTCGTATTGACTATAATAAAAAAAAAATGCATAATCGATATCACGCTTTTAAGCATAATAATATAATATCATGAATTATTATGATTCGCGATCTTACACCGAACAGGTGTATTACAAGCATACGAACGCGGCCGTGTTCCTGCGAGGACTCAGAGTAATGGGGAAAATTGTAGGAGAAAAATTAATTATCACGAAGGTACCTACACACAAATATTGTAAGTACATATTATATTATTATAATACATAGATGTGCACACTCACGTTGTTGTCCGGACGTCGATGTCGCGCTCTAGACGAATATAACGGTTTCAATAATAATAATATTATTATCGTTGCAGTCTTCGTAAAAAACGATTGATGATATTATGAGCGTGACGGAAAAACAAAAAATTCAAAAAAAATTACATAAACCGAGAAAAGCCCGCGATAATATTTCACTAGCGTCGTCGATATTTCGTCCGTCAGGTGCCCGGCCCGGTCCCGGTGTAAAAAAATCTATAATATCGAGTGTGTATTGCGTTAAAATTTTATATAATACGATATAAGAAAAACACGCTCAGACACACAACACGTGCGATATATACTTGTGATATACACACAATTTATATGTATCGATATTGCAGTTAATGTGTTTGACCAGAACAGGACTGATAGAGCCAACGGGCACCGAACAATGACTGCAGCCTGTGGAGTATCGGTTCGTTTGCCGGGTGCCACCATACGCGGATCCGCTCACGGCCACCGAAGCTCCCTTTCCCTTCGCGTTGTAGTCAAATTGCATACGCTGGTCCCCGTGCAAGTAGTAGTCTCCTCTGCAACGGCCAATGTCGATGAAGACGGTCATAATTATAATAATAGCGATATTATTGTGATCACGGATTCGCACGGCTGTCGCGGCGGCGAGATGAAAAAAAATATATAATAATAATAAAATTAATAAATATAATACGAAACAAAAAGTAGGAAACGATTTCGACCTACACGCGCGCGCTCGCGTATATACAGCTGCAGTGTAATATGGGAAGGTACGACGACGACTCACGTTCGAATATAGTAATATATAATATTATGATGGGTACACGACCGTCGATCGCATATTAATGTGTGCAATATAAAATAGTGTATACGATAATGTCATTATTGTCGTGGGTATTGGTCGTCCTGCACCTGCGGTATATACGATTATTTTCACCGCGGTCATCTCAAAACCATTTCCGCAGATATTATGTCGGACGAAATGTTTGGTCGCAACTACTTATTGTTGTATACGATACTTGTAAGCACACGTGTTTGACCATTTTACACCTGCAGAACGCGACACGTTTGAGCACTTTAACAAGTACGCCTTCGGTTGTACGAAAACTGAGTTACACTTATACTGGTAGCGTATTTGCTATGTAGGATTTGCCATCAAAACAAAAAAAGCACACCCCCGATACCGGGATATTCGGCTAGTAACGTTATAATTTCTCGTTGTAGTACCTGAGTAACCCTTAGCAACCGATTAATAAAATAATTACATTCCTCTATGGTAACCAAACAAAAAAAAAACCTAGTTGGAATAGCTCACTTTGCGATCGTGCTCAATTCCCGGATGCCAAACGTATTTTAAATTGAAAACAATGCAATAAACTATAGATCCAAATACAATTTAAACGGAATTTGGTAACATTTATACTTTGGTAATATATTTTGGCCAGTATGAATCTATATTGAATACTTATGAAATTAGGGCCGTATTCGGTATTTATAGTCGATCCTTAAGAATAAGTATTGCTCAAACTAATTTTGATAATTTAAAACAAAAAATTGTGATAATAAGTAAAAGGAGCTCGAGGTAGGTCTAGATCAACCTAAATTTAAGTAATACTTTTTCATTTCTTAAACCAAAGTGTCGTTTATGAATCTCATTTGAGTCATATAATATATGATATATATATATATACCTATATATTATATATGTATAGCTTCGGCAAAACTTATTCTTAAGCATTGACTATGAATAAGGCCCTTAGTAATTATATATTAATATCAACAACCCTAATTAAATATCTTATAACTGTATAACTACGGACAATAAGTAAATATCAACGATCGTAACTATGTTCTGGTAACTAACAAACGTACGGACACAACGGGGATATTAAAGGTTCTATACTTATGTTTAGAAACCTAAAACTGACCCTCAACATCTTTATATAATCTTATTTTTAACTATCGAATTTTCGTAAGGGTACCCTTAATGAATCCAGAGAGGAACTCAAAGTAAGCCATCTAATTTCAGACAGCTTGGGATCAAATCCAAAAAATTAAATCAACACCATCAAATTCTCCATCAAAATACCTACTTGATTTAGTATAGCCAAAAGCAGCCGTATAAACAAAACTGTTATTACTACCTATATTATTATAATATTACAATAATGATATCAGAAAAACAACCATTCATATTATTGTAAATATAATAATAATAGTAAAATATTTGATCATTATATAACAAAAAAAACAATACTTATTATATAAATTAATTTTACATATGATAAAAACCTCTCCAAAAAGCAAAGCTTGTGCTTGAAGTAGGTGAGTTCATAACAATGAAAAACTAAATTACTGTTATACAATATGGCATATGCCAATATGAATTACTATTAGGTACCTAGTTAAAAAATAATATTTATAATACATACCTATATACAAAATAATACTTATAATACTTTATATCATAGTGTTACAACTTATATGAGATCGGATACATAAAATATATAGATATATAAAATAACTTACCAATTAAGCTTGCTACGTGTTATATGTAATTATGCCACTTGAGCTTCTCATCAACAATCACCCCCAAGTACCTATTTAGTTGTATTACCATTTTTAATGCATGTAGTGCATTATACATTGTACATTGGCAGGTATCAGACGGTTGACAGTCATAGTTGTATGAATAAATAATGGTTAAACAAGTAGCATTAGACAAGCAAAAATAAACATAATATTTAGATTTGTCTAAATTAAGATCTAGCATGTTCATATCTAACCAATGTTTAACTATATTTAAACAGGACACAGCAGATTTATATGAGGCATCATTATTATTTTCCTTAATCCGTATAATTGTGTCATCAGCATAATAGATATCATTGTACCATTTATTTTAAAATTAAGAAGACCATTAACGTAAACAATAAAAATAATTGGACCTAAAACTGTTCCTTGAGGAACTTTATGTATTGTTGTTACTTACTTAGAACATTTTTAATTTTTACTACTTGTGTTCTATTGCTTAAATATGATGCAAATAATATTAAAGCTTTTCCTCTAATACCAAAGTAGTCAAGCTTGTTAGTTAAATTTTTGTAATCGACCGAGTGAAAAGTTTTTTTTTAAATCTAAGAATATCCCCAAAACTTTTTCATTATTATCTAAATTTGTATGAACAAAATTAGAAAATGAGATTAATGCATCATCGGTGGGTTGTTCAGAAACCAATATAATTATCAGAAAAATTCTAATAATCTACTTTCTAAACATTTTGCAAAAACTTTAGCTATAGACAACGTTAAAGAGATCAGCCTATAATTGTTAAATTGCTGCAGTTTATCTCCATCCTTATATAAGGGAATTATGATAGATTTTTTTAAATATTGAAGAAAAACGCCAGATGAAATTGAGAAATTAAAAATAATAGCTAGGGGAATTGATATGTAAGTAGCAGTACTTGCGTTTGAAAAAATTCCATTTTACGTTATTTACAATTA